TCTCAGACATTTTCCCTGTGTCTCATTTCGAATGTCAGTCCACCATACTGGTATTTCAAAAAGCATCCCATTCCTGATGTTAAATGGTAAGGCTGAAGGTAGACCTTCAAATAATTTGAATCCCCACTGTGTTAAACCTTTTAAAGCATATGTTACATTTCTCCCACCCAGAAACATTCAGGAAGTTGCATTTTGCACTAACAGAAATGTTCAGATCAACTTCAAAAATAGCTCAGCTGCAAGGAACACAATTTCCATTCAAAGCAATTCTTGCAATGCAGTATATCTCAAAATGCAAATAAAAGCTACTGAGGCCTGAGCCTATCATGGAATTCAATGGTGCAAAATGATTAGAAGCCTGTATAAGTACACTATTTCCTTCCCCTCCACTGTGTTCTTCATACTGGCATAACTCAGCAGAAACCCGTTGGACTCAAATAAGCTCTCTTTTGATAAGTGTAACAACTCAATGCTACATATATTTGCCCTCCTATATGGGGCAGAACTAGGCAGAAATGTTGGAGTTAGTGCAAACATCATCTAAACCTGTGGGCTCTTTTGCAGAGTTCCCTCATGGTATTTTTGCTGATTTGGTTGGCTAAGAACCTTGAGAACTTTCTAGACTTCTATAGTGATCTGGTCAGCAAGCACTGATAATTGGAATGAACAAGATAATTCTTGACTTAATGGCTAGCTGCTTAAGAGAAAATTTTTGCTATTATTGTAAATCAACACTCTCTCAAACTCAGAATTTTGCCAATTTTTATTTATTATCCTAGAGCTGCAGACACTTGCTTCTTCCCATTTAGAAACATTATTCAACATACAGTAAGTAATATTGCCTTCTGGCTGTGACCTTAAATTAGAAGCAGGGGGCTTGTAAAAGAAATAAGAAAAGTCTGTCCATCTTGATTATACTTTGGCTATTGTAAAGGCAAAGGCAGTACACCTATAACCTATTCCGATTTGGCTCAAGATGAAAGGCAGTTCCTAGTATTCACATAATTACCAATATCTGCTGCCAGTGCTTCATATTTATTCATAGGGTGCTGAAGCATTTTGAATAATTTCACACACATCCATGCCTGTAATTGTGATAGGCAGCCCACTAGCACATGCTTCATTACTTTGTGGAATTCCAATAGGACTGGTTTCTGTCAACATATCTGTGAAGAATAATGGCAGCCAATCTTGGTGGGTCCCATTTCACTTACTTTGGTAAAGGGTTTTAGAAACTTCCATTGAAAATAATCCAAAGGACTAAGCAACAAGAAATATTTAAAGCAGTTTTCTATGTAAGCCTCAGAAATAAGATGAGTTATGTAGAAAGGTTGGGGGTTGCAACACATCTTTCATTTAAAAGACAGAAAAATATGCTTCCTTAGTGAGAGTTCTCATTTCCAGCATAAAGCACATAGTAAGAGTTTGAAATAAACAATATTCAAGCATTGCAATATATCTGTTTTATATGCACACACAGCATGCATTCATGCATTTGAACAACAGGAGTTTAAAAGACCTATTCTGAAACCTATTCTGAATCCACATTCAGAAGCTGCTTATACTACAATATAGATATATCCTTCTATTGGTGTGGAACAGAACTGATAAGAGAATCAGAAAACCAAATATTCTTTCTTATTGCTTCACTGATACAGGTGGCCTTCAACTTACAACACTTCATTTAGTGACTGTTCGAAGTTACAATGGCATTGGAAAAAAAGTGATCTATGACCACTTTTCACACTTACAACCATTGCAGCATCCCCATGGTCACATGATCAAAATTCAGATGCTTGGCAACTGGTTCATATTTATGATGGTTGCAATGTCCCAGAGTCATGTGATCACCTTTTGTGACCTTCTGGCAAGCAAAGTCAACTTAACAATTGTGTTACTAAGTTAACAACTAACAATGGATGTGATTCACTTAACAACCGTGGCAAGAAAGATTGTAAAATGGGGCAAAATTCATTTAACAAATGTCTCTCAGAGCAAGAGAAATTTTGGTCTCAATTGAAGTTGTAAGCCGAGGGCTATCTGTAATTTAGTCCTGGGGCCAGTTTGGGGTTAAGGCACCAGGTTAGAAAGAGGCAGATCCTGAGTTCAAGACCCACCTTATGAAAGCCAGCTGGGTGACTTTAGGCCAGTCACTCACTCTCTCTCTAAGCCCAATATACCTCACAGAATGGTTGTTGTGGGGAAAAGAGGAGAGGAAAAGAAGCGTTGAATATGTTCACCACCTGGAGTTATTTGTGAAAATAATAAAGTCAGGATACAAATAATTTACAACAGTAAGATTTGAGGTTCCTTTTTTTCTCTCAGATATTTTTGTTTCTGCATAAAAGGGGCAAATAAATACCTGAACATTTTCTCCAATTGAAGATGCACTTCATATGACTGAGAGTAGCACAAATCCATTATTAACGTGATAAAAATAATTGATGACTCTAAAGTATCCATCAGCATATTTCTTTGACAACCTGCTATATATTTAGTACCTTCATACCCCAAAAGAATAAAACACAAAAGCCTCTGAATTTTTCTTATGATGCTAAAGGTTCACCTGATGAACTTTGGCATTTTGTATGCCTTTTTAGTAAACTGTGCCAGTCCATCTTTAGGGTCCATTTTTAAAAAATCAATTGAATGGTCACTGAATTCTCTGACATGTCATCCTGGAGTGCTGAATGATTCCTGTCAGAAATAGCTGCCTGCAAGTCCATTGCAGGCCTCTGCAACTCACGACTCCCTAAGGTGAAGATAATTGGACTTATTTTTATGCAGTAATTTCTTGGACTATAAGTCTTCAAATCCAACCTAACGTCAGCTCATTGCAGAAATAGTAGAAGGAAAGTGATGCATTTTTGGTTGAAACTGCTTTCAGACAACTATTGAAAGATAGGAGGATTGTACCACTGAACAAGACCCAAGACTATTTACTTTATTGTCAGTTAAATGGCCTTCATTTATGGACTATTTTCCACTTAAAAGATACTTTTTTGTATAGAGAAGGATAGAAGAAGATGTGAGAAAATGCAGAAGTTCAGCAAATAGATGTTATTACCTACAAGCAGGGAAATTGCACTTCTGCTTGCGTGTATGCACACATATGTGTGTGCACACACGCACATGTGCACACATGCACACACACACCCCTACAGACAGATACCAGTTCTCTGGCTAACTCTGTTCAGGCAACAAAGGGGGAAAGGTTATGAAATAGGAAAGGCAGATAGATCACTATTAAAGAGGGCTCCATATTAATACAGTAGTTGAGCTGTTTTTCATTTAGCTCATGTTCATTCATATCCCATCGGCAATATGTAGGGAGTTCTAAACATACAGAAGTAAATTTATACATGCACATAGGCAAAATGCTGACATCCCCAGAATTTCAACCATTCCCAGATTTTTAACTTATTAAAAGGAATTCAAACTGACAGTACCACACAGTATTCCAGCTTTTTTCTTTTATCTTAAAAGAGAGTGAAAAACAGTTTACAACTCTGCAAAAGCTTTATATCCCCCTAATCACTTTACATTCCACAGAGTAGTACAGGAAACAATAGGGGTTTTTTTCAGCTAATATTTAGCTTGAAGCCATTCCAAGCATGCATATTATTATGCAAGTTTTTATTTGAATTTAAGATATGTGTGTATTTGAGCATGTTTGCATCTCACTGGTTACGTAGTAAAATTATTCTATTCTATATATCCATTCCAAGCATGCATATTATTATGCAAGTTTTTATTTGAATTTAAGATATGTGTGTATTTGAGCATGTTTGCATCTCACTGTGTGGTTACATATTCTATGTGGTATTAAGAAAAGAGGTTATAGAACTTATTGGCAATTTCCATCTTAGTAAGATGAATTGACCTTCATTTTAGGATCACAAGCCATCCCTTCTCAAGATTAAAACTAACATGTGATCTTCAACAAACTCTAGAGCTGTCTAAGTGTATCTAACCTGCCATCTATCACCTCCATTTCCAATCTCCTTCTTCCTAGATGTGTTAAGACTTCCCCTTGTTGCTTCTCTGAGGTCTTCTGAGCACTGTGTCCTATGTGAATCTAAACTATCTTCTGTTAACTTACAGGTGAAATTCAAAAAAAATTAGAATATTGTGCAAAAGTTCATTTATTTCAGTAATGCAACTTAAAAGGTGAAACTAATATATGAGATAGACTCATTACATGCAAAGCAAGATAGTTCAAGCCGTGATTTGTCATAATTGAGATGATTATGGCTTACAGCTCATGAAAACCCCAAATCCACAATCTCAGAAAATTAGAATATTGTGAAAAGGTTCAATATTCTAGGCTCAAAGTGTCCCATTCTAATCAGTTAATTAAGCCATAACACCTGCAAAGGGTTCCTGAGCCTTTAAATGGTCTTTCAGTCTGGTTCAGTAGGAATCACAATCATGGGAAGGACTGCTGACCTGACAGTTGTGCAGAAAACCATCATTGACACCCTCCATATGGAGGGAAAGCCTCATAAGGTAATTGCAAAAGAAGTTGGATGTTCCCTAAGTGCTGTATCAAAGCACATTAATAGAAAGTTATGTGGAAGGGAAAAGTGTGGAAGAAAAAGGTGCACAAACAGCAGGGATGACCGCAGCCTAGAGAGGATTGTCAGGAAAAGGCCGTTCAAAAGTGTTGGGGACTTTCACAAGGACTGGACTGAAACTGGAGTCAGTGCATCAAGAGCCACCACACACAGATGGATCCTGGACATGGGCTTCAAATGTCATATTCCTCTTGTCAAGCTGCTCCTGAACAACAAACAATGTCAGAAGTGTCTTACCTGGGTTAAAGAAAAACAGGACTAGTCTGTTGCTCAGTGATCCAAAGTCCTCTTTTCTGATGAGAGCAACTTTTGCATCTCATTTGGAAACCAAGGACCCAGAGTCTGGAGGAAGAATGGAGAGGCACACACTGCAAGATGCTTGAAGTCCAGTGTGAAGTTTCCACAGTCTGTGTTGATTTGGGGAGCCATGTCATCTGCTGGTGTTGGTCCACTGTGCTTCATTAAGTCCAGGGTCAACGCAGCCAGCTACCACGAGATTTTGGAGCACTTCATGCTTCCTTCCACAGACAAGCTTTATGGGGATGCTAACTTCATTTTCCAGCAGGACTTGGCACCTGCCCACACTGCCAAAAAGCACCAAAACCTGGTTCAATGACCGTGGGATTACTGTGCTTGATTGGCCAGCAAACTCGCCTGACCTGAACCCCATAGAGAATCTAGGGGACTTTGCCAAGAGAAAGATGAGAGACATGAGACCGAACAATGCAGAAGAGCTGAAGGCCGCTATTGAAGCATCTTGGTGTTCCATAACACCTCAGCAGTGCCACAGGCTGATAGCTTCCATGCCACACCGCATTGAGGCAGTAATTGCTGCAAAAGGGGCCCAAACCAAGTTCTGAGTACATATGCATGCTTATACTTTTCAGAGGTCCGATATTGTTCTATGTACAATCCTTGTTTTATTGATTGCATGTAATATTCTAATTTTCTGAGATTGTGGATTTGGGGTTTTCATGAGCTGTAAGCCATAATCATCACAATTATGACAAATCATGGCTTGAACTATCTTGCTTTGCATGTAATGAGTCTATCTCATATATTAGGTTCACCTTTTAAGTTGCATTACAGAAATAAATGAACTTTTGCACAATATTCTAATTTTTTTAATTTCACCTGTATTCCTAATCAACAAGATGTAGCATAAAGTCAATACAGATATATTGGGTATGGATAAAGGCATGGTTATATGAAAAACCAGCAAGTATCTATGGCTGAAAGCAGGTGTGATTAATAATAATAAAAGTTATAAGCCACAACATTTGAAGACCACAACATTGACTGTGTGATGATTATCAGTGACATCCGTTAGTGCTTTCCTGCTTATCCACCCCCTTATCCACAGTCCATCTCTTATTTAACCATATGTAAGGAGCAAGTTTTGAATGCCAATGTAACACATGCATTTCCAAGATCAATTGGCCTTAGATCAATTGGAGTTGCTCATAATTCCATTGGGTAGGATTGGCTAGTAGTATGATGCTTTCAGAATATAGTCTTTTCAGTGACAGCTCCCAAGGTATCAAAATCTTTCCAAGGGGAAACTTGATTGATTGATGGTTGCTCTATCCCTTTCCCAATATTGTTACATTTAAAAACAAGACATACTTGTTCACTTGAAATTTTTCTGGGTAATAACTGTCACTAAACTACCTTGCTTTTGAGACTTTTAATAGTTTATTCCCGAGGCTTCCGGTGGTGATGCCTTGGTGAAAGGGTGAAGGGAGAGCGGTCTCCGTCTCTGGATCCCGTTTTTTCACTTTTGGGGACCTTTCGGGGCGTGAGGAGCCTGGAGAGCCAAGCGGAGAAAAGGGGAAGCCCGGAAGACAGCGAGGCGAAATGCGATCGCCAGCCGGTAAGAAGGGAAACCCCTGAAAATCTGAAGTGAAAGTGTCTGTCATTTTATTATGGCAGACCCGAGGCCATGGCTGAACCGTGAATGAGGAGGAAGTGAGAAGATTACCAACAGAAAGTGTCATTGAAGTTAAAATCCCAAAGTTGCAACTATGATGATTTGCCAAAAGTAAGTTTGAACTTGTTTCCGAGGAAAAAAGAGCTCCGGTGAAGGGGGATAACCCCATAGTACAGGCGGTGAGACGAAAGAGCTGTGATTCATCACTTTTCACAAACGGAAAGAGATTGAAGGAGAGGGGGTATAAATTGGAAGTGAATAGTTCTAGGAAGCTGAAAGGTGGAGATTGAAATAAGATGAGAACTGGTGGGAGGAGAAGAAAATCCAGGGAAGCTGGAGGAGGAGGTGGTGAAAAGAAGGTGATAAGGGAGAGACGATTGACTTCTCTCTGCTTCTTGGACGGAGGGCGATTACAAGACCAGTGTGGCGAGTGGAGAAGGAGAAAGTGAAATCCGATCGGGACGTGAGAGCGATACGAAGGAAAGAAAAGAAAGTCTTGGAAGGAAGGAGGAGGTGAAGTGGAAGTGGAGAGACATTGAAAGGATCAGAAGGAAAGTCGGGACGACGGAGGTGAGAAAGGCGAAACACGGAGAAAGGAGTGACTGAGCAATTTTCAAGCGGAAAGAGACGGCAGGACATTGATGGGAGCAGAGAAGAAGAAAATTTGGCAGAGAGTGGGCTGAAAGAGACGACGAAGGAGGATTGGAAAGAAACGGAGAAGATAGGAGTGGAGTCATAAAGAAAGAGACTTGGAGGGAGTAGTAGAAAGACAAAGCGGAAGAGAGGAGAGTGGAAAACAGTTTGGACTGAGATGGTGAGATTGGAGAGAAAAGAAAAGGAAATCTTTGAGTGAGGTGTATGAACTGTAAACTTTAAAGATAACAAAATAGGCTGGTATTGAAATATAAGTTTGATTTATATGATTAACATGATCTGTATGACCTGTATGATTTGAATGTATTTGTCTATTAGAGCACTGTCTTAAGGAGATTGTGGGTATAAGAAATCAAAAAGGAGGCTTTCTCCTTCTTTAATTTGAAATAACTTGATGGTATAATTATCCTGACTAAATAGGATTATTGGGTTAAGGAACGTAGTAATAAATAATCTTAGAGTAGGATATTAAGAGTTTAAGAAGAATATATATTGTTGTGAGTATAGAGAATCTAAACCTTGACCCCTCTTTTATTGTATAAAGGAGAAACTACAATACATTGTATAGAAAGAAATAGAAAAGGGGTGTTTGAGTAAGATATATAGAGATACATGCAGATATAGATCTTTCAATTGATAAATACCTGACTACTGGATTGCTGCTCTAAGTTAAAAGTGAATTAAGAAATTAAAAGGGGGGCTTTTTGTCTTTCCTTCTCTATTGGGGTGATATTTGAGGTTATAATTACTTTGATTAAATATTGTATATTGAACTAAGGAAATATAGTGATAAATAAGTTTTGATTACAATATTAAGAGATTAAGGGGAGTGTATATCTAGGTGATTATATATAAATGGAAATTAGATTCCTCTTTTTATTATAAATAAAAGGAAAAAAAGAATAAATTTAATACTTTGTGCATAAGGAAAGGCAGGAGGGCTTTGTCTGAATAGGATATTGTTAGATATATAGTGATATTGACTTTGAGATAGAGAAAGGGATAACAAGTGGTGCAAATTCTATATAATTATAATAAAGAGATTTGAAAAGAAGAAGGAATAAATTGAAAGTAAGAGATTAGTTTAAAATATATTGTAAAGGAGATAATAAAATAGGTAGAAATAAATAGAGCTTGAAAATAAGACAAGTACCATGACATCAGCCTGGAGAATGGCAAAAAAGACAACATCTAGTCCAACATTGACAATTACATCACCTGCCCATCAAAAGGCAATTGAAGGAATGTCAGGGGCAGAAAAACAAACTGTAGTCAATATGCAAACAATACAGGCTTCGTTAATGACCATTCAAGAAACCATGCTTAAAATGCAAGAACAACAGATAAAAACCCAAGAGAATATTTCACAATATCATATGGAATTGAAAGGCAATATTAATAAATTAGAAGACAAAGTTGATACTATACAGCAAACAATGCAAAAGAACGAGCAGAAACTAGAAGAGGTGGAACTTAGAACAGTACAAAATGAAAAAAAACTAGAACTAATGGACAACAGAATGATGACAATAAATAAAAGATTAGAAGAACAGATGGACCATGCTGCCTATTACTTGAGATTTCAAAATATCATTGAAAGTAGAGATGAAGATCTGAATGTGCTTATGGCAGAATTACTTGCGCCAGCTTTACAAAGGGAGACCCAAGAGATCCTGCTAGAAATCGACGAGGCCTATAGAGTTCAAACGAGTTACGCTCGATGTAATAGGTTACCCAGGGAAGTCCACATGCGATTTGCCAGGAAACAAGTATGTGACATAATATACAAGATAATGCGAGATGAATCTTTGGTTTATAAAGATAAAGAAGTGCAAACCCTGAAGCAAGTTCCCAAGAAGGTGCATGAACAGAGAAAAGATTATAAGTTTTTGGCAACACAACTTATCCAGAAGAACATAATGTTTCGATGGTTAATTCCAGAAGGCTTGTTGGTAACATGGCAGGAAAAGAGGATCAGGATAGATAACTTAGACAAGGCACAAGATTTCTATGAGCAGATTGGAGGAACAGAAGAAGAAAGCAGTGGTAGAGAGGAGCTAGAGACAGAAAACCAAGAAGAACAACAACAGCAAGATATAGGAGGTCTAGTACAAGAAGGAGAGAACAAGGAGGAGACAGAAGGAAGAAGATTAAGAACACGCCCACAAAGAGAGACTAGAATTAATACTTTTGCAGAATCATTTTTATAAAATTATCTTACCCCTTATCTCTGAAAAAAATTCGTTTTTTAGCATCTTGTTTAAAGCCTTTATGACTTCTCTTTCCTTTTCCCCTTCCTTTCTTATCCATTCTAGCTTTTTGACCCCCCCATCTCTCAAATTTCACTCTCTTAGTCTTCCCTATCTGTTGTATTTCTCTTTTCTGTTGCTTTCTGGCATCATATCACTTTTTCATCTCATTTTTCTTTTTCTTGGTTGCTTTTTTAAGTTCTAAGTTCACCTTTTCCTTGCCCCCCTTCCGCTTTTCTTCCTCCACTAAGTGTGTTTGTCCATTAAAGATGGCTTCTTCTCCTTCATCCCAGCCTTCCTGTCGTTGTCGTATTTCTTGATAGGTAGAGATCGCCATTTCTAAAAAGTGAAAAATAGATCCAGAAGAGCCCTTATCTTCTTCTTTCAGTCTTTGAAATTCCATTTGTAGTCCTTCAAAAGATAATGCCATTTTTTCTTTCTTTCTTTTTTGAAACAACCCTAATGTCTTTAGTCCCTTTTTTAAAAAAAAAAATTCACAGAAATCCCAAAGTCACAAAGCAAACCAAATCAGAGCAAACAGTTTCATTTAGCACTTTCTTCTTTCTATATTTTCATCTCCTAGGGTAGAATTCAAATAGACAGTTCCAAGATGATCTTCTAGAAGTCTTAATGTCTTTTATTCCTGTTCTAGCAGTCTCCTTCAGTACAATCTTATAATAAGTCTTTATCTCTTCCCTTCCCCTTGTAACAAATAGAAAGAATTTTAAGTTTTTAAATCCAATGTCCAGAAATCCTTTATCCCTTGGCTTTAAATTTCAAATTGAATTACCTTCGGTGCCCAAGTAGATTTTCCAGATCTCCGTCTGCTATTTCTATGGGAAGGGAGAGTGAAGAAAAAAAAAACTTTCCCTTGACAGCTTTCTTCGCCGCTTTCCAATCTTCTTTGGGAAACATTGTATCCTTCAAGCAATTCAAGCAATTCAGTTTCCAGGGTATTTAAGATCTTAATTAATTCTAGAGACTAGAATTAATAGAAGACAGATAATATCCCACAAGTAGAAAGATGGAAATGGAAACGAAGCTATTATCATTAAACATAAATGGTCTAAACTCACCCATTAAAAGGAAACAGATACTATCTAGATTAGCCAAACAGAAATTAGAAATAGTATGCCTGCAAGAAGTTCATATTAAAAAACAATTCTGGAAATGTTTAGAATATCCTAAATTAGGAAGGTTATTTGTAGCCCTGGCAGATCAAAAACAGGGATAGCGGTATATGTTAAAAAAGAAATTAAGGCAGTAGAAAAATATGTAGACCCACAAGGGAGAATTTTGATACTTGAACTAGAATTAGGGTACAAGCCAATGTTATTAGTTTCAGTTTATGCGCCAAATGACAACCAAAGTCAATTCTATAAGGATTTATATGAGAGAATCATTGAGATGGGACAAGATAATGTATACATTGTGGGAGATCTTAATGCGGTAGTAGATATAAGGAAGGATTATTTTAGTAATGCAAAGAACAAAAAGAAAAGGAAAATTTTGCCCAGATCCTTTTTCAATATGACACAGGAACTAAATTTGATAGATCAATGGAGGAGAATAAATTTGGGGAAAAAAGAATTCACATTCTACTCTAATCCACACAAATCATGGTCTAGATTAGACATGGCGTGGATGAACGCAGAACTAGGAAACCAACTAAATTTGACAGAGATTGTGACAAATGTACGGGCTGATCATAACCCATTAAAAATAACCTAGAAAGGAAGGAAAAGGAAGAGTACAAGCTGGATACTTAATCCCCAAATTTTAAAGGAGAAAGATTTTGTAGAGAAAATTAAGAAAGAAATGGAACTTTTTTTTTAAGGAAAATACAGTGGAGCAAACATCATTACAGAATTTATGGGATACAGCAAAGGCAGTCTTGAGGGGGCTGGTAACAGCATATACAGCAAAAAGGAATAAGGAAAGATAATATAGAATAAGAATAAATAAGAATAAATTACAGGAGGAGAATAAAGACCTAGAAAGTAGATTACAAAAAAAAACACAAGATGAAAAATTGAGGAGTGAGATGATTCTTACTAGGCATAGATTGAACATTATAAATCAGGAAGAGAGAGTTAAAGAGGTGAAAAGGGCAAAACAGAATTTTTTCGAACATGCAAATAAACCAGGGAGATGGTTAGCCCATAGATTAAGATTAGAAAGAGAAAGAAGGTTGATACAAGAATTGGAGGATGATGATGGAAAATTAGAATAGCGAATGACTGAGAAAAAGAAAATAGTACAAAAATATTTTGAACAACTATATAGGGAGGATGGAATAAACCCTGAGAATATAGAACAATATTTGAAAAGGAAAGGTCTCCCAGAAGTTAGAGAGGAACAGAAAGAGATATTAAATAAAGAAATAACAGTGATGGAATTGAAAAGGGCGGTTGAAAGGCAGAAAGATAATAAGACGCCCAGGGCTGGATGGTCTTCCAGTGGAACTGTATAAATGTATTTATGAATGTCTTGAACCAGTGATGTTAGATGTGTACAATGAGGTATTAGACTTTGCTAAATTACCCGATTCATGGAGAGAAGCGAATATCTCACTAATTCCTAAAGAAGATTTAGATCACAAACAGATTAAAAAATATAGACCAATCTCACTCCTGAATGCAGACTATAAAATATTCGCAATAATAATGTCGGAAAGACTAAAAATTATATTAAATGAACTTATTCATATTGACCAGAACAGTTTTCTATCTTCTAGACAGATAAGAAACAATATAAGGATAGTATTAAACGTATTAGAATACTATGAGGCCCACCCGGGAAAGCAGGCAGTGTTGATTTTCTTGGATCCTCGGAAGGCCTTCGACAATCTCAGCTGGCAGTTCTTGATCCAACAGGTCGAAAATATGGGATTTGGATCTAAATTCAAGAAAATGATCGACACAATTTATTCGAACCAAAAAGCTAGGGTAATTATAAATGGGGAGATTACTGAAAACTTTAAGATTATGAAAAGTATTAGGCAGGGATGTCCAATGTCGCCTCTGCTTTTTATCTTGTCCATCGAAGTACTTTTAAATCAGATTAGACAAAGAAAGGAAGTAATTGGACTGAAGAGCAAAAAAGAAGAATATAAAGTACAGGCATTTGAGGACAACTTAATGTTTTTTGTGGAAGATCCATTGGAGTCAGGGACTCCAAGAATTCAAGAATTAGAAGAATATGGGGCAGTAGCAGGACTAAAAATTAGTAAAGATAAAACAAAAGTAATAACCAAAAACTTGATAGAAAGTAAAAAAAAAAAACAATTGGAAAGGAAATTGGGACTACAAAATGTCAAAAAACTTAAGTATCTAGGGATTTGGTTAACAGGAAGATGCTCTTCCATAAAAGAGGATAATTATATGAAATTACTTTCACAGATAAAGAAAGGTCTGGCCAATTGGGGAAAATTACAACTTTCACTATTAGGCCGAATAGCAGCCATAAAAATGAACATACTACCGAAACTATTATACTATTTTCAAACAATACCTATAAAATTGGATAAGAATTTTTTTCAGAAATTAGATAGGACAGTAATGAAATTTATATGGATGGGGAAAAAAGCACAAATAAAATTGAA